GACAGAGTATAATCAGCATGGACCATGCCAATACTGTGCTTTAGAAATCAATATGAAAGTTTCTCTAGGAATCATAATTTTCTGCTGGCCTTAAACAGCAGCTGATGACAATGCCACACACAGCAGTTAAGCTACGCTGGCCAATTAATTAGCATGGCAGAACTAATCCTTTCTCTCTTCTACCCATTCTAAATGTGTCCGCTCGAAGTGAAGTGAGAAAAAGTACACTCAGATCCTGGATTCCCTTAAACAAAAATCACAATTAAACTATATCTGATTTAGACAAATTAATGTCTTTGTAGATCTGGGCCTTCATTTTCAAGCTAGCTGCACTCCCATTGCCACCGCCTTCTTACAGTTACTTATCATACAGATCATACTCACTTCGATTTCTGCATGCCTAAATATATTTCTCTATGTAGGTTCTTGAATATAAAAATGCCAAAGTTTGTCCATAAAAGGAGATGTTGCTGAGGTTTTTACACAAGCTTTTTTTGTTTATTTCATACAGTTAGGTTTTGTAATGAAAGAAAAAAGAGACTATAGATAGATTAAAGAATCCTACCCGGTTGCCTTCAAACTTTGAGCGATCGTTGTTTGCCTTTGCTGTTTTTTCTGCAAGTTTCTTCTGCCTTTGAGGGCCTTTTCCAAAGAAAATGTAGTTGACAAAGGCGTATTCAAGTAAGGCCAAGAAGACAAATACAAAGCAGCCCATAAGATACATGTCAATGGCTTTAACATATGGAATTTTAGGCAAAGTCTCTCGCAGATGAGTGTTGATTGTTGTCATAGTCAGCACAGTTGTAATTCCTACACAAAAAAAAAGAAGAGCACATATCTTACAACTCTAAGCAAATCATGCTTCAATTTTATTTTCCTTTTTGGCAAATTTGCCGTGTCAGTGTAAAGCAGCTTAAAAATTTGTGAAAAACATCTCACAGGTGACATCACTGGAAATGAAAGTAGAATTAAAGCTTGATGCATTATTACTCTGTTACAGTATTTCCTTCACACGATCAGGGGAATAGCTAACAAGGCAGCCTAGCACCACTGCCATGAGTTAACACAGCTTCATGGAAACCACTGTAGCTGTACTGAGGATCTCCTCCATGAAGACCAAAGTCTGCTCAACACAATGGAGAGAAGTTTTTAAAAAGTAACAAAACTAATTAGGGGTCTGGATAGATAAAACCATGTACACATACTAAGGCAGAATATTCATATGGATGGTGAAAGATTCCTCTCATGCAATTTAAAATTTCTAAGAGTAAAGCAGTTGGTTTAAGTTAGTCCTGTAGAGTCCTTCTGTAGTAGATGACAAGAGACGGGCACCTTTCTAGAGCTGTTCAGCCCATCTGTTTTAGACACCTCTTTCAGGAAAGGACAATATAGAAGAGGGATTTGAGATTACTAGTTTAGAGCAGTAGTCTAATTTTCACATAGAAAGAAGTGAGATGAGCACTGAGAGGCAGACTTGTGCATTTGTGGAAAGAAAAAGCCAAGGAGGGAGAGCAGCATTTCTGTAGTGATTGACTGGACACTAATAAAGTACCTAGAAAATCTACAAGGTATGTCAAACCCTCATTTATTTACCTAAGGATGGACATAGCACCTGAAATTATACTACAGAACACTGTTTTGAAAAGCTAGTAAGAAAAGCAAATTTATTGCCAGTCTGCTTGAATTCACAATAAATTGCGGGGTCTATATTGCTGCTGGAAATTTTATGGGAATCGCAAATCACAGGTGGCTGAAATCACTGATTGGTGGAATAAGTCTACATTGGTAAAAGAGGCAAGCCATTCTAATAGGTCCTCTCCATTACTATTTTCTCTGATTCCACAATTATACCATCAGTTTGTAAGTAGTCACTAAAATGCAGGCAGAACAAAACCAAAGAATGAGAAGAAAATTGCTGCCATATTATAAAGCACAGCTTCTTTTATCGGA